GAAACCTCAACATCCAGGTCTTTATATTCAATATATCTATTTTTCTTAGGATTTTGTGAATAATTTATTTGATATTTCTGGATATTATTTATTTTTAAAATATGAATTTTCCTCAAAACTTTAGAAGAGATTATGAATTATATCTTGGTTATGTTTATATTATATTACCAGAAGACTATCAAATCAATCTGGGAACTGGCCTTTCAATCAGCAAGAGAACAAATATAACTTTCAATCTCCTTGCATGTTATTTCTAATATTTGGTGATGTATCTACAGTATTGTTTATAGTAGTCATGCAGTTATTGCTGTTTGTGGCAAGTTGATCTTTGAATTCTCTGAGATACCACTTCTCCAAGTATTAGAATTGAAGAAAGACTTACATTGGTAGTCTTTAAGTGCCTATGATGCTTGAATCAAAATCATGAAAGATGGTTTTCAGTCAAACAGTCCCAATATGTTATATGACCAGGGGAGCAGTGGAGGTATGAGAGCATAGTTTGTGAAGAAATCAAACTATATTTCCAAGGCTCTAGCAAAGCAATATGATTTGGTGCTGTGTGGTTACTGACTGATATCTATTCCCCCAAATCTTTTTCAGTTTTTTCCCCTTTATTTGCCTCCCTTTTCCTCAGAGAAAATCAGATGTCTGCCTCTCTCATTAGCCTTCAGGAAAGTATGCCATGGACAGATTCCAAGCTAGAAAGTTCTGGGCATGTGTGCATTCTTCCTAGACCCCCTTCCCAGGAGAGGAATGTTTATGCTGCTCATCCCCCAGCAGCCCAATTTAAAATCAAAGTCCATACCTCAGAGAACTAGCTGGGATCAGATGCTAGGTATTTCTCCTAGTATTAACCCAGTGTAAGTCTATCAGCACCTGTCTTTTTAACTCAGGAATCATACACAGCCTAAAATAGAGAGATAAAGAGGTGAGATTCAAGTACTGAGTGTTGGGATAATGTCTCTTCTCCTGGCTGTGTAAGAAAATTTGATGTAGGACCTCTCAACGTGGTGACATTCCTAAGGCCTAGAGTCAGTCTTCTTAAAATCTGATGCTCTCTCCCATTTGAGACTGCTCCACAGCCCTTGGTCCCCAGTCTGCCTGGACAGCTGGGATCAGGGAGTGAGAAAGCTTGGAGTGGTGACTGTGGCCCTACTTATAGTTCCTTCTGTCCACCCTTCTCCTCCTGCTGAGACCTATTCAAGCACTGTGGTGTCTGAGTCTAGGAAGGACATTGTAACCTACAGATTTGACAAAACTGGGATAGTCCTTGCCAGCTCTATAGATATTATATGGGGAGTGGTATAAAAGCTGGGAGAACCTAACGGGTCAGATGCCGGATATTGGATTTGGTTCACAGGTCACAGTCACACAGATGAGCATGAGGCACTGATTTCAGATTTGTGGTAGTTGTCTCCAATATTACCTCAGTTTGCCAGCCCTGCTAAAAGTCATACTCAGAAGCTAGTAAGCCAGTTAACTAGGACTCAGATCCAGGAGAGGAAATGAATTACACAAAGTCCTCAAAGACTATCCAGCTCAGAGCTGAACTCCCAAAAGAAGGGGAAGGAGAACTTGAGATCCCTCAGAGTTATAAGCTTGAGAAAGGTAGGTTATAATCATAATGAGAATAGTTGTAGTAGAGCAGCAGCATTAAAAAACAACTACCATGTATTGAGAAACAGGATGAAGCAAGAAAAATGTGAGTCAGGAGTAATGATCTCTGAACTTGAGAGACTGGAGTCCCTCCTCCCAGGCTACAGAATTATCCATCCTTTGAGAGTCTGGCTGTCCCTGGACCAGCCTGGCAAACATTCACTCCTTTATCCCTGATGAACCACCTATAGTACTTAGGCAAGGAATAGACCCAAACTAAGATTGCCATGTACACTTATACAAAACAAAGTGCCCCCCATCCCTGTAAACTTTTACCCAGTCAGCAAGTCTGCCTCTTCTTATCTCTGAGTTATCCCTTAGAACATTTCTTATTCTCCAAGATAAGGCTGTGTAATGCAATACCCCTCCATGAAGTTCCATTCTGTACCTCCCCCCAACACTCACAGCTTCATCCAGAGACTTCCCTGTGTGAAATTAGTAAGTGTAGGAAAAAGTCTCCACAGTCTGTTTCATTGACCATCCTCTTGTCTCCCAGTGCATTTTCCCTCTCAGCATGAATTGCTTTTTTTTTTTTTTTTTTTTTTTTTTTTTTTTTTTTTTTTTTCTTTTTTTGGCTACTGAAACTTGCTGGTGTAGTGCTTTGGAAATAGGATTAGAGGGGGATGGACCAGGACTTGGAAAGGAAGAGAGAAAGCAAAATAATGTGCTTTCATTCTTAAAGGGTAATACTCCTCCTGAGTGAGTTATTCTTGGAGACTTCACCAGCCTCCTATCAACTAAAGTTGAGGTATTTGGGGGCCCCATTTCTCTACCCTGGGAGGAGAAAGGGCATTTCCATTCTAATACTCTCTAAGAATCAGATTTCCTTTCTTACACTTTCTCCACCCTCTCACTTAGTTCATAAAAGGCACCACCTCCGGAATCATTCATCAACATCTCTCCAGCCTTCTCTTCCAAAACAATACTGCAGTTGTCTACGTGTGTGTGTGTGTGTACCATAATTGCAGGAAGCCTTGCTAAGGCAGAGCAAGGTGAACATACCTTCACTCTTCATTGTTGTCTCTCTAATTATTTAATTGGAAATAAAATCCCAGGGAAAAGAGCTCCAAATATAAACCCATTGTTCCATGTGAATTAGATCAAACTATTGACTGAGATGCATTTTTATAATACTGTTTGCAACTGAATAAATGCCTCAATCCTTCATTTAGTATCAGTGAATTCCAGGAAGTAATAACGCAGAGTGATTTCAAAGTAGTTTATGCACCATTTTAGCCCATAAATTTCTAGGGAAATAAAAGTAATTTCTACATTTTCTTTACATCCTATTAATAATTGTCATTAAGACCATTTATATTACCAGGCAAAATGTGCACCACTTAAAATACTGGAAAACCCTCAAAGTAGGAATGCTGAGCTTAATCTTACCCATAGTTGTTTTTTGCTATAGCAGTCATTCAATACATAAGATAGAGAGTTGGTTGGATTCATAGAATGTTAGAAATTCTTTTATTTGGGGATTTTAATTTGAAATCAGTAGGGGAAATCTTAATTAGGGGTCAGAAAAGTGGAATTGAGAACAAGTATCTGATGACCAGATTCTCAATACATCTCTCCCCTCACTGATATATAGAATCTTAGCTATTTTCTGGCTTGGGATTTGGACAGTCAAGCTCCCCACACCCAACTTAAGTGTCAGAAGCATTTTTTTTTTAATTTTTATACAAACTGGAGTTTAGGTTTCAGAACTTCAGAGGAGACATAGTCTAAGTGTCCTGTATATTTAAGAAAAGAAAGGCCAACGGAAAGAAAAATGTTTTCCACTTAGAGTTTAAGGTTATCTAAGTGCCCACACACTGAAGTGGATGCTTTTATATTTACAATATGTAGGAGAATTTTTTTTAATGGAATTGAATGGAGAGATGACTCTTCCTGGGAAAGGAACACTTTCTGTACTCTGCATAACAGCAAAAGGAGGCTCCAAGGAGTGTTCTGATCAACAGTTTAATGGAATAAGGGTCTTGGGCACTGCACACACACACACACACACACACACACACACACACACA